TTCATATGAAGGGCCACACCCTCTTTCAAGGGGAGATAATTATGACTTAGCCAAAAGTTATATGGCATCATTTAACATGTTTAAAAATCTTCTTCTTGAGAACCACTGGACCAGGGAAGATGAAACTCATGTGAAAGTATCCTCAGGTAGTGATGGTTCCAAGTTATTTTAAATAATGACCCCCGGGGGTAGGGCGAGGCCACAATGGCTGTTCAAAGTTTTACATAGGAATGTATAAAGAAAATCTTTAATCATCATCTTCTCAAGAACAGAAATGCTATATTAAGTGTTATTTATATAGAAGTATCCTCAGGTGGTGTAGATTGAAGTTTGTTGAAAATATGACCCCAGGGGTAGGATGGGGCCACAATGGAAGTTAAATTTCGTATATATAGATCATAAGAAAATAGACGAAGGTCTGTTTTTGGTGCAATTGAGCAATTTTGGACAGAGTTAACATGCCCACTGGACTAAAAAAATCCAGTTATTTGCAGTTTTTTGCTCACCTGAGCTGAAAGCATCAATGGGGGATCAAAGTTTAACATAGGAATACATGGGAAAAATCTTCTTCTCCAGAACCACTGGGCCAGGAAAGATGAAACTCAAGTGGAATCATCCTAACGTAGTTAATTTCAAGTTTGTTGTCCCCCGCTTGAAAAGTGGGAGATATTAATTTGGGTCTGTCTGTCCATCTGTCTTTCTGTCTGTCTGTAATGCATTTACACACGATATCTTCAGAACCATTTGACCTTTCTCAATGAAATTTTGCTCAGCAACTCCTTATGGAGTTGCAGGTTTTCTGGGACAAACATAACATAAACATGTAAACAATATGTAAAATGTCAATAAACAAATCGTAACAAAATGCAAATGTTATATTTTATAGTTGATGACTTTATATATTTCAAGAATGAGAATGCTGTGATATCAATTTAAATATATTGTTGATCATATGTATCTATTTTTCTTATGGTACATCTAAATACAATACACATGCCTTAGTAATGTATTTTTATACCCCTGCTCCAAAGGAGAGGAGGTATACTGTTTACCCTTGTGTGTCTAGCTGTCCAAGTGTCTGTCTGTCTAGCTGTCTGTCCATCAGTGTGTCTATCCGTATCAAATTTTTGTCGCAGTTTTCTCTGCTACTACCCATTGCACATGCTTGAAAATTAAACACAATGTTCTCTTAGGCATATGGTGGGTACATTTTTGTATCAAATCTGATGTCACCTTCCTGTTTGTATGTGCGCCTGTTTGTTTCATACATTACAAATTTTTGTCGCAGTTTTCTCAACTACTCATTGCAGATACTTGAAATTTTAACACAATCTTCCCCAAGACATGCCATACAATGGGATACACTTTGGTTAAAATCCGATGTCAACTTTCTGTTTGTCTGTGCATCTGCCCATTTCATACTACTCATCTTAGATACTTGAAATTTTAACAGAATCTTCCCAAAGGTTTGTTATACCCCCCCCGCAGTCGAAGTTTGGGGGGCTATATAGGAATCACCTTGTCTGTCTGTCTGTTCGTCTGTCTGTCTGTGCAATCATGTCCGGTCCATATCTTTCTTACAGAGGGACATTAGAATCTACTACTCCACACTAAGATTGCTCATGACGTAAGGGTGTGTCATGAACTTGACCCAAGGTCATTTTGGTAAGTTCAAGGCCACTGGAAGAAAAATTTCATAATTCGTGTCCGGTCCATGTCTTTCTTATAGATAAACTTTGTAGGTTCTCATTTCACACAAAGATTGTCCGTGACGCAAGGGTGTGTCATGACCTTGATCCAAGGTCATTTGGGAAAGTTCAAGGTCACTGGAAGAAAATATTCATAAATCATGTTAAATATATATCTTTTATGGATAAACTTGGTAGGTTCTCATTTCACACAAAGATTGCTTATGAGCTAAGGGTGTGTCATGACCTTGACCCAAGGTCATTTAGAGAAGTTCAAGGTCACTGGTAGAAAAATTTCATAATTCATGTCCGGTCTGTATCTTTCTTATGAATAAACTTATAGGTTCTCATTTCACACAAAGATTGCCCATGAACCAAGGGTGTGTCATGCCCTTGACCTTAGGTCATTTGGGGAAGTTCAAGGTCACTGGAAGAAAAATTTCATAATTCAAGTCAGGTCCACATCTTTATTATGGATAAACTTGGTAGGTTCTCATTTCACTCAAAGATTGTCCATGACCCAAGGGTGTGTCATGACATTGACCCAAGGTTATTTGGGGAAGTTCAAGGTCACTGGAATAAAAATTTCATAATTCGTGTTTGATACATATTTTTATTATGGAAAACTTACTTCTGAAAAACCCAGTGGGGGTTTTTTTTGTCCCATTTGGACAAATCATGACCCCGGGGTCAGGGGGACCAAGGTGGCCGACCAAAGGTTTACATAGAAATATCTAGGAAAATTCTTTAAAAATCTTCTCAAGAATAGCACATCCATGATTGGTCATGGGACTACTTTTGAATTTAAACTTTACACTTATAAAACAATTTCTACTTTTTCCTGGCCACAGTGCTCAGGTGAGCGATGTGGCCCATAGGCCTCTTGTTTTGAAATCTCATGGCTATATCTTCATATTTCAGATAATAAGGGGCTTAGAATTATTACACTTTATCAGTTGATTATCCTGGGCTCTCTGAGTGTTTAACCAAAATGTAGGTTATGATGACCTACTTTTGCAATTTCAATGCTTTATTAATATGAACATGATACTTAAAGGCTTCAAAAAAAAGTGATAGATGGTACAATATATCAGAAGAGCGAACCACTTGGGGAAGATGAAACTCATGTGGAAGCATCATCAGAAAGTTAACTTCTTTTAAAAACCAATAAATTCAATGACGTGATGACCTTGAGCATAACATATATGTTAAAAATACCTTTTTCGAACTTTCGCCGTAAACTTTTGAACCAAAGGGAGATAGAGGATTCATATCTGGTATGCATACTCCACTAATTAAATTCTTTCAAAAACCAATAAAATCAATGACCTTGTGACCTTGACTATAACATATATGCTAAAAATAGCTCTTTCAAATTTTTTCCATAACTTTTGAACCATAGGAGATAGAGACTTTATATTTGGTATGCATACTCCACTAATTAAGTGCTTTAAAATAACAAATAATGACAATGATTGTGTGACCATGACTGTGACCTTTTTGCTGAAAATTGCTTTTTTAGCTCACCTGAGCCGAAGGCTCAAGTGAGCTTTTCTAATCAAAATTTGTCCGTCGTCCGTCCGTCCGTCTGTCCGTCCGTAAACTTTTCACATTTTTGACTTCTTCTCAAGAACCACTGGGCCAATTTTGACCAAACTTCGTACAAAGCATTCTTGGGTAAAGGGGAATTTAAATTGTTAAAATGAAGGGACATATCCCCTCGCAAGGGGAGATAATCAAGAAAAGACAAAAATAGGGTGGGGTCATTAAAAAATCTTTTTAAGAACCACTGGGCCAGAAAAGCTAAAACTTATGTGGAAGCATCTTGGGGTAATTTAGATTATAAATTGTTCAAATCATAACCCCCGGGGATTGGGCGGGGCCACAATGGGGAATCAAAGTTTTACATAGAAATATATAGGAAACATCTTTGAAAATCTTCTTCTCAAGAACCACTGGGCAAGAAAAGCTGAAACTTATGTTGAAGCATCCTGGGGTAGTGTAGATTCTAAATTGTTCAAATCATAACCCCCAGGGATTGGGCGGGGCCACAATGGGGAATCAAAGTTTTACATAGAAATATATAGGAAAAATCTTTGAAAATCTTCTTCTCAAGAACCACTGGGCCTGAAAAGCTGAAACTTATGTGGAAGCATCTTTGGATAGTGTAGATTCTAAATTGTTCAAATCATAACCCCCGGGGATTGGGCGGGGCCACAATGGGGAATCAAAGTGTTACATAGAAATATATAGGAAACATCTTTGAAAATCTTCTTCTCAAGAACCACTGGGCCAGAAAAGCTGAAACTTATGTGGAAGCATCCTGGGGTAGTGTAGATTCTAAATTGTTCAAATCATAACCCCCGGGGATTGGGCGGGGTCACAATGGGGAATCAAAGTTTTACATAGAAATATATAGGAAAAATCTTTGAAAATCTTCTCAAGAACCACTGTGCCAGAAAAGCTGAAACTTTTGTGGAAGCACCCTGGGATAGTGAAGATTTTAAATTATACAAATCATAACCCCCGGGGATTGGGCGGGGCCACAATGGGGAATCAAAGTTTTACATAGAAATATATAGGAAAATCTTAATAGCAACTGGGCCAGAAAAGCTGAAACTTATATGGAAACATCCTGGGGTAGCGTAGATTTCAAATTGTCTAAATTATGATCAGTGGGGTAGGGTGGGGTCACAATATGTATTACAAGGGGTAAATCTAGTAAAGGACAGAATTGTCAAAGCTTCTCAGGTGAGCGATGTGGCCCATGGGCCTCTTGTAAAACTTTGATGCCACCGGGCACATAACGTTTCACAAACACATCTTGTTTTGTCATTTCTTTTTCCAGGTTAAACTTTTTTCTCTTTCAATTAGCTTTTAGCTCCCCCTTACTTTAAATTTGCTTCCAATGCCAATGCCATAAGAAGTAGGGTGCTGAACAATGTATGATCAGATATTAATTCAAGGAATAAAAAAAAAACCCAAATCTTTGAAAATCATGTAATTAAGAAATCAAAGGCATTATTGTTCCAATTGAAATGAAAGCACCAGTATCTTAAATTAACTTTGACTTAAATTGTTCAATTCATGACCTTGAAGGAGAGGTGAGCCCACACTTGGTTTTTAAAGTTTTACAGAGGAATATGTAGAGGAATAAATCTGAAGAACAGCAAGGTCTTAGTGACTTAGATCAGAAATGTTACCCTAAGGCTTTCATTACTTGTGGCACACATTAGTCATTAACAAAAATTTATAGATTCTGGGACTAGAAAAGACGAGTTTAAGTGTTATTAATTTTGATTTTTTTTATAGATGCCAAAGAAAAAAAGATCATTTGATAAGAGACGGCAACGTGAAAGAGACAGAGATAGAAAAAGGCAGGCGAGACTTGATGCTAGAGATCCGTCACTAGATGAGACACTGACAGAGAGTTCTGTTTCTTGTGGGACAGAGCATGGAGCTGAGATAGCTCCTCCCGGTAATTTTCCGGGGCTTGGTTCAATGGGGTTGCCACCTAAAGAGGAAAAACCCCTGGCCAGGGTGCAGGCCTCACCTCGAGTGAAAATGCATTCACCTGCCCCGAGGTTGCCATCTCCTCGGGGAAGTCGTCTGTTTGTCCGTAACGAGGACAAGGCACCGTCCCCTGACTCCCCACCGTGGGTTTGTGCTCCACCGAGGGCACCTGGATCGGACATGGGGCATATGTCTGGTCCAGCAGGTCAGGCGCAGCTGGATACCTCCAGGGAGGAGGAGACCAGTAGGATATCAAAAGATGAGGGCACTTTAACGAATATTAAAACTGAGTCTGAACGAATATTGAAAGGAAATTTGAACGAATACAATATAGAATCTGAAATGAAAACAAATAGAAATGAGAAAGAAAACAATGAGAAATATACTCTTTCAGAGAAAAATGAAGAAGAGAATATGAAAAGAAATGCAGATCAACGTTGGCAGACATCGTCTAAAGGCATTTACTATAATATATCCAACTCAATTCAGGGCTCTTTTCATCAAGCTCATCCTATGTTTGAAGAGAATGCTGGGACACAGTGTGTTGCTAATTGTTTAGCAGGGTTGGCATACCACAAACTTAAAAATGCAAAGAGCTGGAACACAGCAGACATGGACAGAATTTTAATGACAGGTGATGAATTGTACACATATCTACAAAGATGTTCATCAATCAATGATAGGTATTTGCTAGTAGATGAATTACCTCAACACTTTGAATGCTTTAATAGATCATATGAATTCCATGCAAGTGAGACATATGCGAGTGTTGTCATTGCAGATGATAGTTTAAACTATGCAGATTTTAATGCCCTACCACTGTTTGATGCACTTAGACTTGCTCTTACAGACACTGATGGCTGTTTTGTTTGCTTTGGGGGAAATACTATGCTAGTAGGATTAACAGAGAGTGGCTATTTTGCTTTTGACTCCCATTCTAGGTCTTCTGATGGGATGTTAAGTGTTACTGGAAAGAGTACAAGAGTTTTATTGGAAAGTGAACATGAGGTGTTTTCATATCTTCAAGACCTTGCTCTGTCAATGGGATATTCAAAGGATGTTGAATGTAATTTGAGTGGTGTGACCTGCAAAATGAGTATGGCAAATGTAAGCGGTTTGCTTGAAAATGAAGAAGATATTGGAAAAATATCTGAAATTACCAATATTTCCTCAGAGATTATTGCTGAAACAAGTAATATAGATGATGAATTGATTTTAATTAGTCATGAGCAGTCTCAGTTTAGTTTTATGCCACTGAGTACAGGTTTGAAGAAACATTTGTGTCAAAATTTGAACATTCCATTCATTTGCATTGACAATTTTTGTGACAGCCAATGCACTGAAACTAATATCTCAGACCCAATGTTTGAAAAAGAAATTTTAGGAGATGGAAATTGCTTCTTTAGAGCTATTTCATTCAGTCTTACAAACTCTGAGGATTTTCACAATGTTATAAGGAACTCTGTCTGTGAGCATATGATTGAAAACAAAGAGTTATTTCAGTCATTTCTTAAAGATGGTGTACAGTCTGTGGAAAGCCATCTTTTGTCTACTGGAATGTCACGAGAAGGTACATGGGCTACCGAGGTTGAAATATTTGCAATGGTTCATTTACTGAACGTTGATATATACACATACTCTGAGCAACGTTGGTTAAGGTTTTCAGTTGATGAAGTAGAACCAAGTATGCAAAGCAGAAATGGGGCTATTTACTTGAACCATCAGCAGCAGAATCATTATAATGTTGTAATTTCGGTCACTGGAGAGGAATCAGACTTGACACAGTTGCAACAGAGTAAGAATCGCCATGAATATAAAAAACGATATCAAAACAGGACACGTATGCAGGAAAAGAGGCAATCTACATCAGAAATGCAGGGAAAAGTGAGTGCTGCAGAAAGAAGGAAACATACTTTAAGAAAGAGATACCATGAAGATAAACAATATAAAGAGAAAAAACTGAAAGTAGCGTCAATCAGATATGCAACAGATGATGACTTTAAGGAAAATGTCAAAAAGAAAAGTTTTGACAAGTATGTAATAGATGATGAATATAAGGAAAACACCAAGAAGAGAAGTATTGAGAGGTATGCTACAGATTATGATCACAGGGAAGATGTGAAAAAGAGAAGTATTGAGAAGTATGCTGCAGATTATGATCACAGGGAAGATGTGAAAAAGAGAAGTATTGAGAGGTATGCAACAGATTATGATCACATGGAAGATGTGAAAAAGAGAAGTATTGAGAAGTATGCAGCAGATTATGATCACAGGGAAGATGTGAAAAAGAGAAGTATTGACAAGTATGCAACAGATCATGATCACAGGGAAGATTTGAAAAAGAGAAGTATTGAGAGGTATGCAACAGATGAACTGCACAGGGGTAATGTTAAAATGAAAAGTATTCAGAAATATGCAACGGATGTTGAACACAGAGAAGATGTAAAAGCAAAAAGCAAACTGAGGTACAAGTCTGATGAAATGCACCGGAATCTAGTGAATGCAGCAAGTACAAAGAGATATAGGGAGAATGAAATCTTCAGAGAAACAAAGCTCCAAGCTGCAGCTGAAAAATATGAAAGTGATGAATCTTTTAGGTCAAATATTAAAGCTACTAGTAAAAATCTATATCACTCCAGTGCAATAATAAGAACACAAAAAAAGGAAAGAGTAAAAAGTCAAAGAGTTGCTCAGCAAGAAAGAATGGAAAATCAGGAAGAGGTAGTAAGAATATTCAAAGAAAAGGTTATGCTTGGAATTGATTATTCGTGTTGTTGTTGTGATCGGCTTTTGTTTCAAAATCAAGTTCAAAGATGTGACCCAGAAACATATGTCAAAAATGAACGGGCAGCAAATATTGCAGAGATATGCATTCAGAAAAGGTATAGCCACCAGTGTACAGAAACATGTCCTGAGAACTGCATTAAGTCAAAGTTATGGATTTGTTATACATGTCATAGAAAAATATTGAGTGGTAAACTTCCAGCAGAAGCAGCAGCTAACAAAATGGCTCTTGAAGATGTTCCAAAAGAAATGAAAGAATTAAACACCCTAGAGAAACATTTAATTGCTTTACATATACCATTTATGAAAGTTATGGCTCTTCCTCACGGCGGTCAGAAAAACATCCATGGACCAGTTGTATGTGTACCATCAGATCTGAAGAAAGTCACAAGTTTACCAATGAGGCCGGGAGAAGATCTTCTATTAAGAGTTAAATTGAAGAGAAAGTTGAATTACAAAGGTCACAGTGAATACCAGTTTGTTGACCCAAGGCACATATTTGAGGCATTAAAATATTTAAAGCTGAACAATCAGTGGTATGAAGATGTAGCTGTAGATGCAAACTGGACAGATGACTTTGACTGTTCTCAGGAAGTTATGGAAAATGATGATAATATATCGGAGGAGGACGATCAGCAACACATTGCAGCAGACACTTGTTTACAGCCAGTTGATATTGCTCAGGAGGTTCTTGATCATTACTTTGATGATGTCTATGATATTGCTCCAGGAGAAGGAAATAATCCAGTGCGGATGTTACAAGAAGAGGGAAATGAAGCTAAGACCTTTCCATACCTATTTCCGACCGGACGTTTTTCATGGAATGACAACAGAGATACAAGAATAACATTGTCACGATACTTCAACAATCGACTAATGAATACTGACGACAGATTTGCAAAAGACAGTAGTTATGTTTTCTTTAGTCAATATATGTCCGATTTAAATCAGGTTATTGAGAAGACGCAGATATCAATTAGAAAATCAGTCAAGAGAATGGGAAGTGATCAAAATGTAACAGCAAGCATGGTACAAAACCCTGAAGTACTCTCAAAATTGATGAAAAATGATGAGGCTTTGCGATTCATGCAGCCAATACGTGGAACACCAGCATATTGGTCAGCAGCACAAAAGGATCTCTTTGCTATGCTTCGACAGTTGGGGATACCTACTTGGTTTTGCTCGTTTTCTGCTGCAGAACATAGATGGAATGATGCAGTTGCAACAATATTAAGACAACAAAATGATAACAGAGATCCTTGCAATTTGGACTGGTCTGAGAAAAATGAGGTGTTGAGAAGCAATCCTGTAACAGTTGCTAGAATGTTTGAGCATAGATTTCATGTTTTTCAGACAGAAGTTATATTTTCACCATCAGAACCAATTGGAAAAGTATCGGATTATTTCCAAAGAGTCGAATTTCAACAAAGAGGATCACCTCACATGCATTGTTTATATTGGATAGAAAATGCTCCAAAACTTGATGAGGATGGAGAAGACGCTGTGTGCAATTTCATAGACAAATACATCAGTTGTGAAATGCCCTCTGAGAAAGAAGATTTAACTCTCAGGAATATTGTGTTAGCTGTACAACAGCACAGCAAAAAACATTCGAAGTCTTGCAGAAAGAAAGGCACAGACTGTAGGTTTAATTTTCCAAGACCACCTTCTGTATCTACTTTCATCAATTCTCCACTTGAGGAAGAAAACTTAGAAAAAGATCCTGAGGTTGCGGCAACTGAATTGAAACATAGATCAACAATTGCTAAAGAAACTCTGTTACAAGTTTGGGAAGAAGTGCAAGAGGAAGCAAAGGAAAAGGAAACAACAGAAGAAATTTTTGAACGTCTAGGTTTGACACAAGAGCAGTACGAGGAAGCACACAAAATCCTAACTAAAAAGAGATCAGTTGTTCTAAAAAGAAATCCATTTGAGCTGTGGATCAATCAGTACAATCCGTGCCTTTTAAAGTGTTGGGATGCAAATATGGATATTCAGTTTGTTTTAGATCCATTTAGTTGCATTGTCTATATAATTTCGTATATTTCAAAGTCTGAGAGAGAAATGGGGATGGTGTTGAAACAAACAAAGATAGAGGCAGAAGAGGGAAATGAAAGTGCACGCTCCACCTTAAAGAAAATAGGATCTGTCTATTTGAATCATAGAGAAGTGAGCGCACAGGAAGCTGTTTATCGCGTTTGTAACTTGAAAATGAAAGAATGCTCAAGGAAGGTTGTGTTTGTTCCTGTGGGTGATAATCCTACTAGACTGACTAAACCATTGTCGCAACTGAAAAGAAACCCTAGGAACGATGAAGATATTGAGAATGACGATGAGGAAGATGATATTTGGATGACAAATGTGGTAGAAAGGTATGAAAATCGACCAAATAAACCGTTGTTTCAGAACATGTGTTTGGCGGAATTTTGCTCAGAATTCAGAATACTCGCTAAATCACAGGTACCAAAGACAAAGAATGAAAATGTGTTTGAACTTCAGAATTCAAAGGGATTTATACAAAGGAGAACACGTACAAAACCTGCTGTCATAAGATACCCAAGATTCAGTGCAGATAAAATGCCAGAGAGGTATTACCGATGTATGCTACAGCTTTTCTTGCCATATTGGACAGATGCTCAATTAAAACCTCCAGGATTTGATCTCTATGAAACATTTTATGAAAATGGACATGTACGAATAACAGGAAGGCAGAAAGTGCAGTTAGTCAAATCCATTGTTGACTCGAACCGAATGCACTATGCTCAAAATGAAGATGTGATTGCAGAGGCCCAAGAAACCTTCGAAGACATAGGAGAACCAGAAGATGCATGGGCAAACCTTTGTCCTGAGACAGAACTAATGAGACAGGAATGTTCTGCCATGAGAAATGAACGTTTAGATTTGAATGTAACAGAAGAATTGCCAGATATGCAAACAGAAAATAATTCCGATGTCCTTTACAAGGTTCAACAGAATACACATTCAAAAGAGGAGATATTCCAGATCTTACAGAATTTAAATGAGACGCAAATGAAGGTATTTTATGTTGTGCGAGAGTGGTGTTTGAAGGAAATTTTTGGGAAAAAACCTGATGCATTGCACATTTTTATAACTGGTGGAGCAGGAACAGGCAAGAGTCATCTTATCAAAGCTATACATTATGAGGCATCGCGAATCCTTGGGAAAAATTTGACATCTCCTGACAGTGTTACAGTGCTTCTTGCCGCTTTCACAGGAACAGCTGCGTTTAACATCGGAGGGAATACTATCCATCATCTATTTTCCTTGCCAAAATATATGCCTTTGCCATATGAACCACTGAGGGAACAGAGTTTAAGTGAAATGAGAGTTCAACTTGGAGATCTGCAAATTTTAGTTATTGACGAAATTTCAATGGTGTACAAAAGATTATTATACTATGTCCATGAAAGACTTGTACAGATTAAGAAGTGTAAAGAACCATTTGGAGGAGTGTCAGTGATTGCCGTGGGAGATTTTTACCAGCTACCTCCTGTTAAACAGCGCAAAGACGAAAGACTGTATAAAAACAATGTTCTTTATCCTGTAGATTATTGGCTTGACTTCTTCAAAGTAGTGGAGTTGACCAAAATTATGAGACAACGTGAGGACATCCCATTTGCGACAGCACTTAATTCACTTCGGAGTAGAGTAATAAAACAACAACTGGAAGAAGAAACAAAATCTATTTTGAATGAATGTGTAAGGGAAGGACCAGTAGATGTCCTCCATGTTTATGCAACAAATGAGGAAGTCAATGCCTTTAACTTAACAATGCTTAAGAGAACCTGTGAGGACCTTGTTGAAATTGATGCGCAAGACTTTACAAAAGATCGAACAACAGGAATTCTAAGCTTAAAAAGTAAGCCAACTACAAGGCCCAAAACAGACAATCTTTCTAGCAGTTTGTTAATGGGTGTTGGTGCACGAGTCATGCTTACACGAAACTGCAATGTAGATGATGGCCTTGTAAATGGAGTTATGGGACATGTTTCACATTTTGTATATGGTGAAAAACACGTGGAAAAAACTATTGTTGCAATAGGAGTAATATTTGACAATATCAATGTTGGTAAGAAGTCCGGAAGGAGAACAAAAGATGGAAACGTTGTTCTGATTGAAAGAGTTCAAGAGGAACTACTAGAACAAAAAACAAAGAATGTTGTAAGACACCAGTTTCCATTACGATTGTCTTGGGCGTGCACAGCTCACAAAGTACAAGGAATGACAGTTGACAAAGTTGTAGTAAATTTAGACAAAACATTCTCTCCTGGACAAGGATATGTGGCACTGAGCAGAGTAACATCGAAAGGAGGCTTGTTTATTGAAACAAACAATGCAGAATCGTTGCAGAACAAAATATACGCTGACCCAGAAGTCAAAGCAGGTTTGCTAGAGATGCCACAATTGACACTACCAAGCTTTGATACATTAGACCAAGGCATTATAATCTTCCTTCACAACATTCAGAGTCTCAATAAACATTTTGTATGTCTACAAAAAGATGTTCGATTCAGGAATGCAGATATTATTTGCATAACAGAAACATGGTTGAGATCTGGACAAAATGTCAGTGCATTCGAAATGAATGGGTTTCATTTTTACCAAGCTGCTAGAGGAGATTTATACGATGACAGCAATGCTCAAACTTTACAGTTGCGTGGATCAAAGGGTGGAGGTGTGGCTGTTTACGTTAAAGAAACGGAACAGGAAAATATTGTCCATTCACTTGATGTAAAGAATATCGAAGGCATATGTGTGAAATGTGTTTCAAAGGAATTGGTAGTTTTGACTATCTATCGCCCAAACTCTTTAGATATTGCACAGTTTTTAATACAATTTGAAAAGGCGATTGCACTTTACAAATCAGTATTTAAGTTCGTTGTTTGTCTTGGGGACTTCAATGAGGATGCCAGATACGTAGGGTCTATTCAGAATTTTATGATTCAGCAAGGATTTAGGCAAATAGTTGATTTTAATACAACGGAAGGGGCAACTATCCTTGACCATGTGTATTTGTCAACATCTTTACAGGCAAAAGTGGAAAAAGTTCCAACATTTTACAGTTACCACGATGCCTTAATGGTAACTCTTTTAACAAGCACAATGAATTATCCATAGAATCGGTTCCTGATGTCTGTCTGGAATGTTTTTAAATATTAACATTTTAATGGGTTTGAATAAGCGAAAATTTTATTTAGAATTCAACTAGAACGAAATGTTTTAAAAGTTTTCATACGTATAACTAGCCCCACACTTGTGACACAACTTGTTACATACTGTTTGTTGTTATTTTGAGCTTAAATATGATAAACACAATGGTATGCAAACAGAAATATATGGAGATAACCAAAAGTATTCAAGCTCGAAAAATAGGCTCACAAATATCTCCCAAAACTTGACAAATTTCCTATCATATCTGCTTACCAGTAAACATTTTAAGACATATAGAAGAAGAGTTGTTTAGAAATATGAGATCTTTCATTTGATTTGGATAAAAAGGGCTTGATCACTCGAATAAGGGACCAAGAGGGACCAAAGGATTTTCCTGTATAACTCTATACACATCTTTTTTGTTATAAATAACTTGGTTAATCTTGATAATATGCAACAACATATTGTAAAAATAGGATCATATTTTACTTGATTAGACGCCATTAAAGGTACTTAGACACAGATTTGAAGTTAATATTTTCTCTACAATTAATATTTATCATTTATACGCATGCAACAAGATTGCCACATTTCCTAAGGATTAAGAATAAAATTAATATGTGAAAGTGCAAGGATGTGTCAATCAAACCCGCCCAAACATTTGAAATTTTAATATTTTTCATATGAAATAAGATTTTTAATTAATTTTTGTGTGACATGCTATTAGAATATATATGTCGTAATATTATAGAAAAAATAACTTCAAATATGTGTTCAAGTACCTTTAAGGGCCAATATGCTAAAATTCTTTGATTCTTTTTACTTCCAAAGGGGAAAATTTTTGAAAAGCTGTATCGAGTAAAATTATGTTCAAAATCGTATTTTAAACAAAATACAACCATTCCTTTCTTCTTTTTTTATACAAAAAAAAAACACGTCAAATTAAGGACTTGAGGGACTGGTCCCTATAGATGTCTATCCTGTAAAGCTTGAAAAGGAAAAGAAATTTCTAAATAGCTGTTGCTAAAAAAAAACGTTTTAAAGGTACTTGGACACAGATTTGAAGTTAATATTTTCTGTATAATATCACGAATTATATATTTTAATAGCATTTCACACAAAAATTAATTTAAAATCTTACTTTATTCAAAAGTTATTAAAACTTTAAATTTTCTGGCGGGTTTGATTGACACATCCTTACACTTTCACAAATTTTAACTTTATTCTTAATCCTTAGGAAAAGTGGTAATCCTGTTGTGTATTAATGAGAAATATTATAATTTATAGTAAGATAAATAATTTTATTCAGAGTAGAAACGTTAAAAAGCAAAACTCGTATACAAGAATCGTCATTCCGAACTAAGAGTTGCGTACACAGTTTAGCAAATCGAGCACACTCGTGTTATGTATACAGTTTTTTGTAAACAGGCAAGAGCTCTGTTTTTGTTTTGTGTTTACGATTCACCGGGTGCGTTGAATCGCCAAAGTCTGTTCTCCACAACTGCACGGACTGACAATAAATTGTGTGTTTGTTTTGCTTTCGAACATGTCTACTCTGAATTTTCTGGATTATAGTATTAACATTTTTCATTAATACACAACAAGATTGCCATTTTTCATAAGGATTAAGAACAAAGTTTAAATTTGTGAAAGTGCAAAGATGTGTCAATCAAACCCGCCAAAAGATTTAAAGGTTTAATAACTGTTAAATGAAATAAGATTTTTAATTAATTTTTGTGTGAAATGCTATTAAAATATATAAGTCTTAATATTATAGAGAAAATAATTCAAAATATGAACTTCAAATCTGTGTCCAAGTACCTTTAAATCAATAGCCTTCTCATTTGACATAAAGGTAAACGTTCTGCATGACCCCTCAAGTACGGGGGCAAGATGGACCAACATAAGTTCGTCTTTGGCTGTTTTATAAATTTATATAAATCTAAAATTTAAAATAAATGAGAGAACTCTTGAAATCATGATCTTTGAACAAAGATCAGAGTCAAAATCATATCTCATCTTATCGAAAAATCGGACGGAAGACCTACTCGTTGCTCGCAACGAGATCGTATCTAGTTATTATTATTTTTCTTCTCGGGAAAATTTTGTCCGCGAATGATCTTGTAAAGTACACATCCGATTAAGGGGAAACCTTTTTAGGGTAAGTAGGCATGTTATGTAGATTTGCGGAATCAAGGTCATTTTCCACGCACGTGCTTGCAAGAGCGCGCACGTGCAAAACTTGAAATGACCAATATATAATGGATATAACCGTAACTTTTCTATTTTTAGACGAAATGTTTTGAAACTCATAATGTAAGGATATATGAGTAGTATGCACAAGATGACATGGTCAAAATAGCAAGATCGCACGTGCAAGCACGTGCGCTTCGCTCTGATTGGCTGAAACTAAAGTCTCAATATCTTTCTTGTTTTTTGATAAAATCATTTGAAATTTTGAACATAGTCATACATTAGGGAGATCTACAGCCCGTAATAAAAGAAATATCATGAAAGCATGTGCATGCACGTGTGCTTGCAAGAGCTCGCACGTGCAACACGAGAAATGTCCAATATAATTGATACAGACGTAACTATTTAAATTATTGATGATATGCTTTAAAACTCATGTTAGAAGTATATTATAGAAGCATAGACAAGATGACATGGTCAAAAAAGCAAGATCTCACGCGCATGCACGTGCGCTTCGCTCTGATTGGCTGAAACTAAAGTCTCAATATCTTTCTTGTTTTTTGACGAAATCCTTTGAAATTTTGAATATAGGCATGTATAAGGATATCCTACAATAAGATATATAGCAATTATTTTGAAAACGCGTGCATGCACGTGCGCTGCAATCTGATTGGTTTATGCTTTAAATAGCTATAATTCCCTTGGTTTTCAACCAAACAGGATGGGATTTGGAACATGGATAGATATAATGGACTTCTACAAGAAGACATGGTCATCATGCACATGCATACACGTGCATGTACGTGCGCTGCAATCTGATTGGCTGAAACTTTGAACAGCTATAACTCCCTTGGTGTTCAACTAAACGGGGTGGGATTTAGAACATAGATAGATGTAATGGACTTCTACAAGAAAGTATGGTCGCCATGCTCATGTGAGCACGTGCGTGCACGTGAAATGAGTAAAATCAAAAATACACTTGAATTAGCGTATTTTTTAATACGTTTGGATTACATACTTTGATATTTAGTATATTAAAGTCTATAGATTGTAAAGACAAGATTATATGGTCATTACGCACATGCATTCACATGAGCATGCGTGCAATGCTAAAATTTGAATGAAATTGGTACACTTCTGGGTAAATGTTGTTAAAGTCTCAAATGCATAGAGTTTGTCTTATTTAATGAAGCTTATAGGGAATATGGCACCAAAAGGGAGTTGTGGAGCGTTTGGGGAACATCTGTAACGGTCCCCGTTACAATTAGCACTAGTTAATTATTAAAGCACACCCCCTCCTCCTGGCACCTTTTAAAATAAACTTTCTCTTCATGAAATATCCCCATACTATAAAAAAAAGTTATAATGGTATGGGGATTTTTTTTTATTTAGAGGTAGGTTAGAAAGTTCTTATGAACTATGACCCCCTTCTCCTTTGCATACTTTGTTTAATTTTTGGTAACTCCCCCCCTTCC